TCAGTAAACAATACCCCCATCAAGGAAGTACCAGAGGGAAAAAATAAAACAAAACCCACACCTCCACCAACACTGGCAGGGCATGCCACTGTATATAAACAGAGAGCAAACCGCACTCCCTTCTAGCACTGAAGATGTTACCTAGCCGGGTAACGAAACATTTGCAAGAAAACAGTCAAGTTAAGAGAACCCCAAGGACTCCACAGATGCCTCTCCTCTTCCTGTTGGACCCCTCATATTCTTGAATGTAATGACTGACAAGGCAACTGGCAAGGCAAAAATGCAGCAGCAAAGACCCGTGTGAAGCATTTCCATCAGCCAAAGGCTAATTGTTGGACCTGTCCTATCTCAACTATGCAACACACAATTTTATCCTCCTATGGGGACAATGAAATAAACATGACAGGAGAGATGCTGACTGACCTTTTATCGAACATTCTCGCCAGAGAGCAGGTTAAAACACTCCCTGTAGTCAATGCAGCAGACACAAACAAAGCTGTTAATCCCCACTGCTCCACATGTAACAAGGAAAGCACCCCCCTCCCCAAATTCAGCATTGGGCCATCTTGCAGTTCACGAGGCTTCTCACACCAGTGTAGCCAGTTCTTAGATCTTTAATAGCTTTCTCTTGTTTACTAAGAAAGCTCATCTGAAAGAGTTTCCTTGAACTCAGGACAACTGTGCTTCCCAAAGCCTTTACTTTCTTGTAGTAACTGCTGAACAAAAACTCAAAGGATCGGAGCAATGATGGGAAAGGATGAGGATTTATCAGTTCAAAGAAAAGAGAATCTACAACATAAACAGACAGTGGAAGCAACCCTCCGCACGGACAGTAGATGACAGTAACAGCCAGAAGCAGGGCAGAGCATATTCCAGCAAGCACTGGAACTCTGAAACAATTTTCACACCTTCATAGACAAAACAAGTTCTCAGCATTCCATGGAAGAAAAAATGCAAAGCAGAACAGGAAGCGTGATGTTGGATCCCTAAAGGGCAGACAGGATGCAACTGAATCCTATAAGAAGTCAGAGTCATGGAGTTAGTGATTTATTATTAGTAGGGACTGAAACAAATATATGTCGACCAGAATCAATGGCCAGAATCAAGGATAAGAGAGGATAGACCCTGGATGTACTAAAGTCACCCACAGTCACTCTCTGGGGGAGATGGGTGGCATATAAATAATAAAATAAAATAATAAAATAAAATAAAATAAAATAAAATAATAAAATAGTCTCAGCAAAAATAACCAGAGATTCATAGGTATTCCTGAAGATTTTGGAAAGGAAAATTAGAAGGCAGATTCAGAAAGCATATGCAAGGTATCTGAGAATTGCTGGAGATTTCCTGATATCGAACATTTCAAAATATTCCCAAAGGAGAAAAACACCTCAAGATATCCTAGTAAGGTTCCTATGCAAAAGAATGAAAGATATCTTTTTAAAGTGGTAGACAGATACCACTGATTATAGAACGAGTCGCCTTGTGTGAGATGGGCAGCTTAAATAAATAAATAAATAAATGGGTCTCCAGGAATATTAAAAAAAGAAAAAGAAAAGAATTTGCATATCTGACAGCCATAAGAACTAAAGAATTAAGATACAGATGGAAAACCCCATGTGTGCTGGAAGTCTTCCTGGATACAAAAATGGTAATCATAAAGACAATTTCAGAAGCCTCCTTCTTGCTTAGAAGAATTAACCACTCAGGACCCCTCGGACAAGGAATGTTCTACTACTGAAGAGGACTTTGTAGACAAAGAAGGGAAACTGAATAGAGCAGCAGCACTGAATTAAACTCAGAATGGAGACAACACTGATTTTGATGAATGTAAATGGACTAAACTTACCAAATAAACAGAAAAGTATTTTTAATAAACTAAAAAAAAACACCAAAGGCTGATATTGTTTTATATCAGATCATGCCTATTTGTTAAACAGAAAAAATAGGACAAGAATTTCCTAATGAAAAGGAAAAATGAAACTGTAATTTATCTTAAATCTCCAGCTTGGGAAGTAATGGACCAGTTTAAAAAAAAAGCTAGAAGTATCTTAACCTTGAAACTCAGAAAAAAAGGTAAAATCATAATATGGGCCTCCATTTATGCTCCAAACAAAAACAATTAACAGTTTTATAAAAAGATATTTTCAAACGCTCATAGAAGTGGAAGGGGGATAAATATTTGTTCTGGGGGCACAAATGAAATATTAAATCCCAATTTAGATAAATTGTCTCAAAGGAAGAAAGGAGGAAGACTTCCACAAAATGTCTTTCAATAGATGGATGACTTGGCACTGCAACAGACACAGGGAGACAACAAAATCCAAAAGAGAGAGACTTTCTGCAAGACACAAATCATACCAAGGTTACCTAAGGGACTGCCTCTTCCCCATGACTTCAACCTATCCCATCCGATCACACAGAGATGGCATGCTCTGGACCCCCTCGGTAAAATAACTCCAATTAGTGGGGTCCAGAAGGCGGGGCTTCTCTGCAGTAGCCCCCGCTCTTTGGAACATTCTGCCCCCGGAAGTGAGATTGGCCCCCTCACTCCTGGCCTTCCAGAGGGCTTTGAAGACCTGGTTCTGCC